AAGCAACTGCCATGTGATTGGTTGATTAGATAATTGCATTAATGAGAAATTGAACAGGTGTTCCTAATAATCCTTTAGGTGAGTGTATATTATAACTTTGCACATATTTACATTTTATTTATTTAGCAAACACTTTTAGTCAGTGCAATGTGCACTTTTGAGAAAGCAGGGTCAGCCAATCCCTGGGGCAAGAAGAGTTTTGCACAGTGGCCCATTGGTGCAATCATTCCTCTCATACTGGGATTTGACCCGACGACCTTCCGATCACGAGCACAGCGCCCTAACCTGCTGAACCAGTGACTCACTGTATTTTTTTTTTTATCTCACCTTTCCATTATGACCCTTGAGGCTCAACGTGTTTTCAAACGTTACACTTGAATAGATGAGAATGATGTTGCCGTTGACAGCTGCAAACATGTGTCCCCCGTGACTGAAGGCGCACTGGAAGAAAAAGCACAGTACAGACCAGTCATGGCTGCCGTGTTTCGGGCACAGAAGCAGGGCTGGAAGCACACAGACGCTCACCTCCCTACAGCCACGGACACTGAACTCTTTGAAGGTCCTGATGTCGTCTGTGAGAAGGTTCATGAAGCACAGCTTGTCTGCGAAGCCCGTCAGCATGAAGATCCCCAAGGGGTGCAGGGCTACACTGTAGGGCTCCTCTTGGAAGCCCTTGTAGAGCTCCAGGGTGCTGGCAGAGTTGAGATAAGAGAGTGTCTCAGAGAAGCCCATCGAGCAAAGTACGGGGAAACATCTTCAGAAGGATCAACCACAGCAGACCAGTAAACATTTATTTCCCATAAAAAAAACATACTGTCCTGCTCTGTCATGCATAGCAGTCAAATTTCTTTTGTTATCTTCTTAAAAGTAAAATGGAATGAAGTAAGTCATTGAATGAACAGCACTAAATAGGATTAGTTGAATTCCTTTGCACAGCCAAGAACAGATCCGGATGGCTCTTCTTACTTAGACTCGAAATTCCAGATGCGCACGGAACAATCCACGGAGCAGGTGGCCACGAGAGGCTTGCGGCTGCAGACAGACAGACCCGTGACGGCGTCCGAATGGAAGAAGTGCGAGAGGAACTCGAAGTGCACCTGTTCCTCCTAGCGAACGACACAAGGGAAGCCACCCACCGCGTCACTTCTGAGCTCGCTTCTCCATTGAGCTGACAGCGCCAATCACCAGCCCTACCTTACACATCTCTGCAGAAGACAAGGAGATGCTGTAGAGCTGCCCCGAGTCCGTGCTGGCCGCTAGTGTTTCCTCAGAAGGGCTGATGCACAAGGTGAGGATCTCCTGCTGCTTGGCCTGGCTGAACTCACTGATGCTGTGGTCCTCAGGGATCTACGATACGGCGCACATATGACGACAGCAACCATGGACATTCCGACTACTTCAACGACTGAGTGAGTCAAGCCGAGTCAATGTAATGCATATGAATACCAACACTTTACACTGAAGTTCCCTTCAAAAACATGCCTGGTTAATACACGCTAGAGGCCAAAATTGTGGAAACCCCAAGCATTTTTGGCATTACGCTTTAAAAAGTACTACACAAATATTAGGGTTAATGTTTGTAATCAATCAAAGAATGTCACAAATATCATACAATTGGACGATTAAATAAGTAACTGGAGTAACAGTCAAATAAAGTTCTACAATGTCTAAAAATTGGGAGTGTTTCCACAATTTTGGCCACTGGTGTAAAATACAGTACCAGTCAAATGTCTATACACTCCTATTGAAAATCATTTGGTTTTCAACAAGATGATGACCCTAAGCAGACCTCAAGGTTATATTGTAAGTATCATTTTATGAATAAGGATAGGGATGGAGTGAGGTGACAGATGCCCTGGCCCTCACAATCCCCCCACCTAAATCCTATAGAGCTGGTCTGGGATGGGCTGGATCAAAGAGTAAGAACAAGGTAGCCAACTTGTGTCCAGAACTTGTGGAAGCTCCTTTGGGAATGTTGGAGAAGCATTCCAGGTAGATACGTATGGAAGCTATACGAAGAATCTGCAAAGCTGTCAAAGGGGTGTGGGGGGGGGGCGCGTGTTTTGTGGAATCTAAAATATGAGAAAATTTTGAGATGCTGAACACAACTCTTGGTCATTGAAATATTTTATATATATTGCTTCTTTGCCTTGATGCCTTTTACCATAAATAAACAACAGCTAAGACAGAGACACCAAAAACTTTAAAAGCAGGGGTGTCCAGACTTTCGACTGGTACTGTGGCTGAGTTGTACTGCTCCAGTTCACTTTACGATCACTGGATTACCAAATTACTGAACACAAATAAAAAGACAACAGGAAAATTACATTTTCAACATTATGTCTTTCAGAGCACAATAATTATTCTGGTGGTTTTTTCCCCCATGCAATCATACCGAATGAAATAGGCAGGTCATTATGATATCTTAAATAATGTAAAACTCTGGGAAAAAGTGTTCTTTGCAGTTGGCATAATGGAATTACCAGAATCTCTCTGGTTTTAATATAATCTTTCTCTTCAGTTTTTTCAAACAGGCAGACCGCCCCCTTTCCGGCGGAGCACGCAAACCCTCTGGAGTAGGCCACGATGGATGTTATGCGAGCATCGCGGTCAGCTTCTATTAAGGTTGAATCTTTCTGCTTCCTACCGTTGACAGAACTGAAAGGCAAAAAGACACGCCTTGTGTTCAAACAGCCAGATGAACCCAGAACTGCCCCAATGAGAGAATCCACCCCCCACCTTTCAGCGTCCTGCATGGGGAAGCTGGCTGTTACACTGAACTCCCTCCTCAGGTCTCCTGAGTCGAACACCATCAAGCTCCCCGCGTCTGTGCCCGCGATCACCCGCGTCTTCGACATCCAGCCGTGTGCAAGGAAGTTGTGTGACTCCAGCTTAGGGGAGCTGGACTGCTTCAGCGATCCCTCAAAGTAGTGGAGAAGCTTGAACACACCCTTTCCACTGACGCAGATCTCAGTGTGGTTCTCAGGATTGAAGCTCACCTGAACCAGAAAGGACTTCTTAAAGCTCATGTGTTTCTGCTGCAGATGCCTTCGAAAAAGCGTGCACTACGATAGTAATTTCCATCTTAACATCTACATTTTAAATTTAATGTATGTCCAAAGTTAACTCCCTTAATATCACACCTTAATATATAAGGAGGTGACTGGAGATGCTGGTAATAATTTTAACCTTTTTACCTGGTATATAGGGTTTGTAACCCCACCAGTTTTGACTGTGGCCATAACCCTTTGCTTCTCCCACATCCAATAGAAAAGCGTCCAGTCGGGATCCCCAGACTGCCCGATGACGTATTTGGAGTCGGTGGAGAACGCCATGCACACGAACTGCCGCACGAGGACGTCCCCCCCGCCGAGCACCTTCCGTTTCCGGCTCGGATCCTCGCGCAGGTCGTACACACTGATGGTACCTTCGTCAGCGCACTCTGACACCGCCAGATAGCGCCGATTAGCGCTGATGGCTATAGCACACATGCCGCTGCTTTTCTCTTTACCTAGGAGACAAAAAGTCTACATTTGCATATAACTTGTGTTTAATTCTGACATTCATAATATTTCTTTTGCTTGTACTGTGATTTAGATTTTTTTTACCAGTCATCCTGTGAGAAGTATTCTTTAGTGTGATTGATTTTTCTCTACCTGGGATAAACCTTTGCCATTTCAGATCAATATTGTGGCACACGCAGTGGTTTCCGGCTGGATAAACGACGGTTTGGTCATCCAGAAAGCAGAGGTTGTTGGCCACATCAGAGCGCAGCCCGAAGATGTAATGGCTCTGAGCTACAACGGAGCTCATCTTCCAAGTGGCTTGTCTTTATGGTCCACTTCTTAAAGAAGGGGTACATGACGTCACCGAAATGTAAAGCGAAAGGATACGATATAATGAAATTTTGATGCAGATGAACTCAACAGCCCGACAGAGCTGACGTACTTAATCATTAATAATAGCCTAATATAGTTTGCATACAATAGCTGATATTACACAACACGCGGAACTCATTTACAATATAGAAAGTTGAGATATTTAACTCATACATTTCTCTTGCTCGATTAGTCAGCCAGTCACTTAAGTTATAAATAAGTCTTTACTACGCTACCATTCCTGTTTAACTGCATTACATTTCTCACAAACCTCATTAGATCCAATCGTCCGATCAGCCGTCCGCCTCTTAAATTTTAATTTATTAGAAGTATTTATCTATTGTTAGCTAGTTTCCGCGGCTGTGCCGCCAAGCCGAGCAGTTTGGTTGGCTTCTACCGTCACCATAGTAACGCCCTCTGACACAAACCTGGGGAGAGCAACGTCTGGCATGCAGCTTGTCCTGCGCGACACTGGGCACAAAGGAGGCTGTACGTCTACTTCATGGTATCGGACGGTGTTCGACAAAGTCAAGAAAGACTCGGAACCTCCACCACCACCAAAGAAAACTTTCAGATGACACATTGGATCTTACACTTAATAAATTTCATACAATTAGCGTGTAGCATAGCGGGATGGGTTCGTGGCAGCCCCACGCGACCTGAGCAGGATAAGCAGGAGATGGGTGGGAGGATAGATAGATAGATGGATGGATGGATGCTCTGTGCTGTTTCAGCTTCTGAAATCAGGAAACAGAAGTCCTTAAGAACATCGATCATGACCAGGACTGAGAGACTTAGCAGGAGTTTCTACCCCCAGGCCATAAGGTCTCTGAACCTGGACATGCCATTGCACCTCACACCCTGATTGTGGTCTTGTACCCCTCACCATATCCATACTGTTAAACTGGCCACTTTTTATGTCTGTGTCACCGTTCATTTTGAACATACTTCTCTGCTTGCATTTTAGCTTTTTGCACTGTAACTTTAGCATAATTGGATTAGACTACAAAAGAGCGCGTTCAGGATGCATTTCGCTGCATGCTGTACTTTGTATAACTATGTATGCGACAATTAAGGAATCTTGAATCTTGGATGAAATAAAAACGCACCGTGCCTACCCTCTAGTGGTAGTGGTGTGTTCCGAATCAGGCAAAACATGAAATCCGCAGTGAAAACCAATGAAGTATATTCGTGGTGATATAACTTCGTTTCTTTTCTATAACCAAATTTTATGACTATATTATTATCAAAGTAGTCGTTAAATTGGATATTTCTGGTTTCTTTGTAATTATCGATATTGACGGAAATTTAAGAATGATCTTCGACCCCTGGTCCTTGTTATTACAAAATATAGGACAGGTCACACTTCCTGAAAATGTTTGTTTTATGGTAATTAAAAGTGTGGGAAGTGTGCTTTACGTATTTAGTTTTTTCTATTATTGTGGGATTATAAATACATAAATATATTCACTGCCACTAGAGGTCACACAAGGTGCGCCGTTTAAATATTTTCAAAACAAACATGGATTTAATTAAGGAACAAAACTTGCCGAACGTAGTGAATATATTGGTATTGTTCGCCTGTTGTATAAATCAGCCTCATTATTTTTCTTATCCATCATTTTTTCTTTAATAACTTTTGTAATAGAATGCCAACCGTTAAACTTGGTTTTTCCCCAGCCCAAGTGAGGCAAGCATCCAAATATTACGTATTTTCCTAATGATTGTTGGGGGCTTTAGTGTTTGAAGAATCACTATTAGTCTTAATGACTAATTGCAGCTATCAAGAGTTATATACATAGACGTTTATTTCTACTTTATTTACGAATAAGTATTTTGGATATCATATGAGTAGTGAATGAAATTTAACATAACGTGTTTACAAATAACTGAAATGGCTACCTGACGTCACTCGGTACGTGTTATTCAAAGCACAAATAAAATGCAAAACCCAGTCGTGAACGTACTGCTTTACCAAGGTTGTGACTCATCCACGCTGGTGTGTTTGGCATAATTAGACATGCCGCTAATTATCTACTCGTTTGTAAAGAATCTGTCATCGCAGTTACCATCCAGGTTGAGGTTCTCCCTAGCCCAGGGGTAAAGCGTGAGAAATGTACACAGGACTTAAAAGGTTCCAGAACGGAACTCTCATAGGATTGATCAGGTATTTTCATTTCCTTTCAGGGAACAATTAAGTAACGGACAATTTTTGTCCTCGTTACCTGGCACGATGGTGCGGTAGCTGTCGGTAGGAACCGGCGGCTCAGGAGACAGGACTGGCTAGAAAATAAATGCGCGAAGACAACTGTAACAAACATTCAAATGAAAAAATGCATCGTCGGCAAAGATGGGTTTGAATAGCCTATACATTCAACCCATAAGATGAGGTTAATATTACCGTTCTTATTAAGCATTATGTTTAACAAGTTAAAATAAGAGCTTAGAGTACAGCAAGTCATTTTAAAAGATCTCATAGTACATACCCATTACAATTTCAAATCATTTCAATGCCTCTGCATGCGGACACCAGTCCGCGCTGATATTGGAAGGTAAACGCTTGATGTTTCTTTTATTCATGTTAGATACTGCTTCACAGTGAAAGCCTGCATGTCCTTTAGTTGGATTCGGTCTGGGTATTCGATATCCGAGCCGGCATGGACTGACAGCGCGTCACTCACCCACAGTTGGCGGGGATCCCCACTCCAGCGTGTCTTAATGCCAAAAGGCTGACAAGATCCGCGTTAAAGGCAGTGTGCTTCGTGCTCGGATGTCTTTCATTGACAGAAAACACGCCGATATTTGCTTATAAGCAGTTAGAAATACAAACCGTAATGAGCAGTTGTGTTAAAGGAAGACAGCGGCAAGAGTCCACGTGCAATGCCCACTCAATGCATTTGCGGAGTTCAGGATATAGATGGGCATAATTGAGAATGCAAATACACATTTAGACCTACGTGATATTTTAGGTAATGTAAAAACATTAATACCGCTTCAAGGAAAAAAAAATAGAAAAAACACGGAACCAGCGCGTGTTCAGGTTAGGTTTTACACGGCAACACTGATCCGTTATTACAGGAACACATCCAACAAACTTTACAAAAGGCACAAGGAAAATACTACTGCATTTTATCCTAAGGTTTCCGTATACATTTTAATTATAGTACGCTACTATTTAAGCAGTATAACCTGTTATGACATGGAATTTGTGCAACAAAATAAACATTGCTGCAGGTATGCGAAACGTGCGATATACGCGGCTCTGCAAGCATACGAGTTGCGCGAGACTCCGTCAGTCAGCGTGCCGGTGCCTCAGCTGGTGCGTGGACGGCAAAGGGCGGCGCTTTAGTGCTTATTAGTCACAGCTCGAGATGGCTGCACGGGGACACACACAAAGGCGCAGAGAAGCACGAGTCAAAGAGGGACTTCATTCACTTGCCTTTTATTCATATTTAAAACATGCTGAGGGCAGCGATGTTCATACATTCTACTGATCCCCAGTGAATCATATCCAGTAACACGTCACAACCCGGTCAAAGATCTATAGTAAAAGAAAATAAAATTCATTGTCATCTTCATCGAGAGCAGCATTTGGTTTAAAAAGGGGAAAAAAATCCAGCCCAAGGGCATGACTCCATGGTCATTCATTGACTTTGAATATCACATTAAAAGAAACATCTTCGAACAGATAAATAAACACAGTAACAATTAGGAAGAATCATCATCATCATCATAATAACAATAATAATAAATTCACACTTAGAAAAAAAAGGCATTCAAAATATAAAACAAAGTGACTCAAGCATTAAAGTATAAGGTGATTGGGGGGGGGGGTCCACACGGGACAAAGCTTCAGGCGGGACTTGGTCAGTGTGCGGGGGCCGCTGGATCCATCATAATTTGCATTACAATTTGCAGCAGGCTTTTCTCTCAAAGATCAGGTCAGCACAAGGTGCCTTTGGACCTCAAAAGAAAAAAAAGTCCTATTGCAACCTAATACATCAGGCAGACAATCCTGCTATCATTCATGCAAATTCAGCTACTTCACTCACACGAAAGCACCAAGCCCATGTCTAAATCCTTGACTGCCCTTGTCAGCTGAAAAACTGATAAAACTGTGTGTCTCTGCCTGTAAACAGTGGCTCCTGGGGGCTGACCCCATTAGTGCTTTGACATTCCTTAGGGATCCGCCTCTCACCCAGCCCGGCCAATCAGACGGGACTGTGAATCCTCCTCGGGGCCCGTCACCTCACTGGTACTGCAGGTAATTCTTCAGAGACTGAGGCAGAGGCAACGTTTCGATCTCCTGCAGCCGCTCCCGGCCCAGGGCCAACCGGGCCGCCCGGCGACACAGGTCCATGAGGGGGAGGGGCTCCGCTGTCAGTGACATATGTGGAGGGGAGGGGGAGGGGAGAAAAGAAATAAGTAAGGATAAGCAAATATCCTTTGCAGCCATGAATAACACTTTCCTGCAGTGTGTCAGTCACGGTTAATGTTTGGGAAAACTAGCAAATGGGTAAACAGACAGAGTAAACACTATATACTATGTAAGCAGTACTGGATACATATTTTTAAGAGGTGAAGCTGGGAGTGGCAGCAGGCTGCACTCAAACGGGCTCCAGGACATCACGGCCAGCAGGCAGTCACACCGCTCTGGATGTTCACGCATGGTGCTTGTCCGGTCTGCCGGCCCTGCTGGGAGCTTCCTATCAGAGCCAGACACTCTTGAGCCGGGATGGGGGAGGGGGAGGATTACGACCAGCTGATGCAGCTTAGCTACAGTGGTCCAATAACACAGATCTCACCCTTGCTTTAGCTAAACATAGACTCATCAGGACAAATCCTCAAATGGTAATCTGGAGTCATTGTCCTGAGATTCAACTCTATCCCTGCCAGCAGTTTAATCTCAAGCACACACAAGCTACTGGCACACCCCCCCCCCCCACCCCACATTTTATGGTATTTGATTGCAAATGTACCCTAGTACAACTGGAAAAGCTTCCTCTAGCCATCCGGTTTCCAGATTCCCTCCCAGGAGAAGCACAAAGAAGCCTCCTCGCTGCCATTCGCCGATAATGATCCCTAATCGTTTAAAGCACATCTAGGGCTGAAAACTGCCAGCAGGTCACCTCCCCCCAGAGAGAGGCTGCAGCAGACATCTCCATTAATATGTAGCAGCATTAAATGCTGACCAGCCTGGAAAACAGGCACCTCCTCATTCTGCATGCAGAGTGGTCATCAGTAGAACCTTCTGCTTTCCTAATATTTAGCACTCCCTGTCAAACATTTGTACCTAATTCTCCAGGGGTGACCTACTGCGAGATCAAAAATTTGAGAGGACTGAAAAATTCATCGTATGGCCAAGAAGTTTCACTGTTCCTAATGTCACACTGACCTGATATGAATGAGACTTTGATCTGTTTACATCCTGGAGAAACACACAAATCAATTCATCAGACAATGCTGCTTGTAGTTCCTTTTTCCCCAAAGGAAAAGTTTTTGTAGCAATGTTCCAGAAGGCAGATCGAACTTAACCAAAGATCCATCATAATGCATTCTGTCTACAGTCCTCTCCAAGCATAGTTTGAGAAATGGAGGTGGACACCCCAGACTGCAGTCAAATTCAGGCCTGACACACACACGCCGAGTAACGACATAAAATGACAAAGCCGGCACGGCGTCACAACAGCCAAGGGCTGCGATGACAGAAAGCGCCAAGAGTAAAGTCCTTTCCCTTTCCCTGACACTACTGACAGAGCACAGCGAAACCGAGCCCATGGCACTGGAATAGAGGGAGGGCCTGCGTGTGTCCGTGTGTGCGAGGAATGAGCATGTGGGCTCCCACACGAAGCTGACAGCAGAACTGTATCAACACAGACAGCAAGCCAGCAAAGAATATTTAATGGCATGACGATGAGCTGTATATGGCACAGGGAGCATTCGGGGGCCTGAAATGTGCACTTGAACAGTGGGGGAAATCAGGACACTCCTCCCCTTTAGTGCAGTGAAGCCCAACCCACTGTGTGCCATTGATTTTGGATCGGGTATCAGGAGAAAGTGATATATCCCTCAACAGGACTGATATCAAGGGAACTTGTGCCTCACAGTGCATAAATATTTACCCATAACTACCCACAACCACCCAAACAATCAAACCCCCCTGTGGTTAAGAGACACCAGATAATGGTTTGATCCATTCTGCTCATTCGTCTTGGTCTGCTGAAGCACGGAAATTCTCTCTGCCACCCGAGTGACCTGACGTCATGCACAAGTTGTCAATATTTGCTAAGAGGACATAACACAGTGGCTTAATCAGAAATGCATCACCACATTTTGATGAGGCTTTAATAACAGCACGGAAATTACTTAATTGCATCTGGAAATTAATGATTGTTCTGTGGCTGGTGAAAAGTTGCAGAGCTTTGAGCCTCTGCCTGGCATTCTGGGAATCACGACCACAGAGGGGGACGAGCGTCAAGAAGTCGATGCACAGATGGGTCACAACTCAACTTGCATGTTCCCTAATGATGGCAGCAAAAGTCAAAAGGCGATACATGATCAGAGAGTACTAGCAGTCGGCACCAGGGCAGTGTAAGGGTGGGGGCCGTAAATATTAGAGAGGGCCCTGATCATTTTTCCACCTTGGATACTCCTCATGTCAGTACATTGCAAAGCCCATAAACAGTAAAAATCTTGATTGACAGACTTGAGGTCCCTAGTCTCTAAACAAGGTACATATGGGCAAATGCACGTGTAAACGCAGAGACAGCCAAGCATCATGGAGTATGTACCTTACCTTAAACCCTTTCTGACTTTTCTGGGTTTACTTTGCCAACACAGGAAACCATTTTTACATAACCATTTATGCAGACTTGGGTAACATTTGTACAGACACTGACAGGCCAAACCACCCCCTGACGTAGGGATGGCATGTTCTTTTGCATTGAAGTCTAAGGCTCTGCAGAGGAAGAGTCATATCAGGCTGTGCGGGCTGGTGATTAAAGATCCCTGGGTCAGGCCAGACCCAAAACAAGCCCAGTGGTTTGTCACCGTGGCTCTACCAAGCTGCATCATGTGCAGAAATTGCATCTTTCATCCCCTAACACTGTACAAGTTTGTTCCCTTTTCACTTTGCCCCATCATGTGCTCCATACAGATGAGAGCAAATCGGGGGGGGGGGGGGAGGCCAAACCGAAGGGGCAGCCACCTTGCAGCACGCAGGGAGCTGGCTGGGGCCCACAGGCATGTGACTATTTTGCTGAGGCTGGGCACGAACCAGAGAAAGTCTGATCACAGGTACACAGGATTAACCCACTGAATCACACACAATGCATCACCTGCACTATACACTTTTGTTCGGGGGCTACTGTGAGGGAATAAATAATAAATGCAATACTGCTGTACAACACCCCCCCACCCCCAGAGTGCCTTAAAGCAGACAAGACTAAAATTCTACTATTTACAGCCGACCGCTAGAAGTAGCAGTTATAGAAATATCTTATACTGAGTACCAGATTTAATGCAGTGACGCTCATTGTAAACACACCTTTCCAGAACACCGAAAAACCTATGCAAGAAAAACATATCCACTGCGCTGAGAGCTGGCAAGTCACGAGACCCAACAAACGAGGTTCTACAGGTCTAACATGCTTCCTACTCAGAGCCTAAACAAAAGGAAAACAAGCCTGTACAAGACCCACAATAACAAGGCACACCACCAACTCAATCACCCACCTCCTGCCAGACAAGGTTCAAGTGCCCCAGCAGGCATGCAACACAACCATGGTCGAACGGCATTGACGTCAGCCTGAGTGTCTGCATGGCGCTTCCAGACGTCAACTGTGGACCTTAATCTGCCATACTTCTGGTGTATGTGCAGAACAGGGTAGCTGGCCAGCCATGTGACGACACGCAGGGCCAGATCCCAAAGCCCAGTGACAACACTGGTTGGCTTTAATCCCCGTTAGGCTCCAGCCCCCAGATTCCAGACATGATCTCCTTTACGTGCTCAGGAGGGGAAAATTATCCCACTGTACACAGCAAACCAGAAACACAAACCATTGGTCCATTTCCCATTCTCCTTAATTATGTACTATGTCAATTCCTATACAACAGGGGTACTACATTTGTCCACAAGGTCCAAATTTCATCAGCCACACAAAGCCAAAGTCTGAAGGGGGTTTACCATCAGTAGACTTTGCTGATGGGGGAAATAGCAGATCCAGTGGACGTATATATACACAAGTGGTCGAACGTGAGGTCTGGACCACGACCGGAGTCTCACAATCATGGTTCACTAACCAGATGAAGGGCACACATATGCTTTAGATGCAGA